CCTGCTCTTGATCAACATAGTGGACAGATGCTTGTGACTGGGAAGAACATACCGAGAATCCATGGCTAACATTAGATCTTGAAAATCGTTTGACTCCACCACTAAGAAGGGTTGCAGTGTACCGGCAATAAAATTGACGAGTTTGTTAGTGATGTGCTTCTAACGAGGGTGTGTAGGTTTATATTTAGTTGATTCTGTACAGTATGCTGCTACACCTGAGCAGAAGTACCAAAGCCAGATGTAGACTTCTATAGCTCTGCCTCATGATTACACTAGAAATACAAAAGCGTATCTCAGTTATATGGTATAAAATATAGTTTATAATAAAAAACAATAAAAACATATATTATTAACTAAAAATGATGAATATAGTTCAAAGCATGAGAAATTTAGTCTAACTATAGAATATAGTTTATAATAAAAACATATCAAATAAATGAAAATAATAAAAAATATAGTTTAACACGCATGAGAAATTTAGTTTACTTATATTATATTATATAATTTACATAGAATATTAACAAAAATAATAAAAAGGCTTACCTTCAGATGTGTCAGCAGGTTAGAAATAGTCTTACCTGAAGTAGAAATGGTTTGCTCACAATATTTACACTTTTCCTTGAGGTGACCAGATCTAGCAGTAGGAAGTATGGAATGTTCATGTGCCACTGTAAGCAGTTCAGTAGCCATCTCAAATTTTCTCAATTGACTTGACTGAATTAATAACTATGTAATACAATATATTTTAAGGTATTTGGAGAGTATTGACCTGACTTAACCCTCTCGCCACGAGCATCCTTTACTGCGCATGTCACGATATTTTTAGTGACTTACATTAAAAATGTAATCAAACTTTTTGTTTATGTTATACCAAATAGTATAGAATAAAATCATAGCTAATAATCTATATCTTAGTAGTATATGTTTTAAATTTTATAAGGAATTTTTTTTAATCCTGAATTTCTCCTAGTGTGAGCAATGTGACTTTTTTCTATAGGCATCCCCTTTTCTCTAATTTATTTACCACCCCTCCAAGAAGTACGAAATTTAACGTAAATTACTTGTTATAATGTTGTCATCCTCAGGTAGAGCATAATTTTCATAGCCTTCAATTATGTTTGGTTACAGAGACATCAAACAGAAAATCAAACCCCTTTTGCCATACCCACCCGTCATATTTTCTCTTTTAGAATCAGTCAATAGTTCTCTTTGACATTCAATACTATATTATTTACAACCAATGGAAAGCTATGGTTTTCATCTATCAAATGACGTACTATATTACGTTGTTTTGTTTGTACTGAAAGAGAAATTAACATGCTGCAGATGTAATAATGACATTCTAGAAATTTGATGAGTACAAAAATTGACATTTACTCTTACGATATTAAGTATTCACTAAATCATTCAGCGAATATGAATACTATGCCATTGAATTCGAAAACGAATACTTTAATTTTCTCTACCAAAGTATTCGAATATTTCCAAAGCCGTATTCGAATGCATTTGAATATAAATACCCCATGTCTGGAAGCTACTAACTAAACTATGAATATTTTAATAAATTTATGTTTCAAGAAATGTTGGATGCTGGAATAGACAGTAAATCCTGCTTAGCATACAACTTTCAATGTATTCTACATACTATGGATCCATGCTGCCATATGTGGAATAGTATTAACAATTGAGGCAAACTTCACACAAGTGCTTTTGTCATAATTTCTCCAGTAAAGTGTTGTTCTTCAAAGTTTTCATACAGAACTTTTATGTTGGATGGACATGACAAAATTGTAAGCATATTATGTTGAATAATTGTACTACTACAAGTTGTGTCCTGCCCACCAGGATTATAATTATGTACAGTGTTATACCTCTTTTAAAATTTGAAGAAGAGTAATACTAAGTGTATTTGTTACACATATTTGCATCACTGTTTCCACATTTTTGTCGTAGCTATTACTGTGAAAAAATTCCATTCAGCACTTTTACTTGCATTTATCATGGTACAAATTTATAAATATTACACTGTAAATTGGAAAGAACATTGTTAACAATGTAAGTATGACGTTATTGTTTACGTTTAAGGTGTGTAACGAAAGTGGAAATTAGTTGAGAAGAAGGAAGTCAGCTAAGCGTGTGAATAAACTAGAATAAATACACGAGAGACGAAAAGTTAGAAAATCACTTTTAAGCATTTAGCATACCAATTCTGTCTTAATTTTGGACGAAGTTATGTATTTGTAACATAAAAATCATATTAACATGGTAAATGTAATAGTTTCTATGCAGTTTCAACATAAACATGTGGTACAGAAATTTACCTTGTTCTAGTTTCTTTTTTTTTCTATAATAGGTAGTATCCACTCTGCCCAAGGAAGGGGATGTTGTAGTATACTTTACTTAAGTGTTAAAAGGGTCAATGACTGCAATGCCCTTTGCTGGCCAAGAAGATGGTGTCTGTATGTTAAAGGAGACAGCGAAAAGCTATGAGAGAACAACAGTCCTGTGGTGATACCCTCGCAAGATAAAAGAGTACGAACTTTTTTGCAAGATCGAAGCATTTATTCTTTTTCAGTTCTACCTGATTTTGATTATAACTAGTTCACCAGATTCATCTCGAGAGACAGAAAGCTGACGATATATTCAGCGACCCTATAGAAGTAATTGCCCTCTTGTTTGTACAAGTACGCACGCTGCATTTTCTTTTTGTTTGATTCAGATAAAAATGGTGTTCATTTTCTTTCAAGCTTTTCAAGTCTTTTTACTTTCTCAAACATGGTTAAAATTCAGTCAACATTTCAAATGCAGATTACTTCTCAGATTTCTTGTTCGATCCTGCTGATAAAGTGAACATATCTAACACTAGGGGGAAATCAATTTTACCTAAGAGTACCACATGATTATCATTACCAATAAATTTGTTAAGATCACTCAAAGGATCGTTTCTGTTAAGATTTTTCTTGAGATGGTGTAATCTGTGCATAATAGTTTGGGATCGTTTGTAATGGTTAAATTTGACCATATTCAACCAGGCTGGACATACATATTCAAATAAGGATTTGATATACGAATTATACATTCTACGTATATTTTTAGTTGACACTCCTCTGCTGTTACTAACTAAACTTCTTATATAGTTTATTCTTTTTCAATCTTCGTTTTTGATGTTATTTATATGATGTACCAAGTTAAGTCTCATATCGTAAATGAGACCAAGAAATTTAACTGATTTGGTTACCTGGAGCAGGGTTGCATTTAGGCTAGTGGATGCAATAGAAGTATCTGGGAAACTCTTCCAGATAGCTATATCATCTACAAAGTATGATGTAGTACAGTTATTCTGATCCAAAAGTGGCATGCTACTAACAAAACCTTGCCTGAAGAGTAAAAAACAAAACAATAACTGATTTGATGCCTTTAATGTTTATTTTAACTTTTCTATCACCCAAAACGTTGGGAAGCCAGCAGATAGGATGCTACTATCAAGTTGTTCAAATCGAGACATTTGAAACCTAACACTGTTGTGCCAAACGTTACGATAATTTTTCCTACTTAGAAAAAGCATGCTACTATATATTGATTTTTATTGAAACCATGTGTGCCCTAGTGACTCAGTGGTAAATCCAAGGCTTATAACATTAAAATTCTAGTTTCGATATTTGTGGTGGGTGTAGCACTGATAGCTCATTGTGTAGCTTAGTATTAACAACAAAGAAATAAGAAACCACCTATAACTGTTTCTGTCAGCCTAACTATATGATCCGTAATGTTTCTAAATTTCCTAACGCCATTTTGAATTTCAGGCTAAGTTTCTAGGAGAGATTAGTGGATCGATGCTCCACTTTTCGTCTATAATAATTTGTATATATATATATATATATAATTATTATATGCATAGTTTCGGACTTATTCAGGCTAATATATATAAAGCGTTCATTGTATTTGTTTATAATATTGTTATATTTAATATTTACTGTTTATATGTTCAGTTTAATATTAATCTAAAAAGTTTATTAATTTATTTTTATGTAAAAATTTAGTTGAGAAGTACTGTTCGCAAAATGAAACAAATAAAAGGGAATATTGAACAAACTTTGAGCCTTATACATCTCTAATTAAGAACGAAAAACTACTTTCCTCAGCCATAGTCGTACTTAATTGGCATCAATAAAGAAAGTTCCACCCATATCAGTTTGAAAACCATAAATTACGATTGTATAAACAATTAAAGTAAATGTTGACAAGCCCGGCATGGCCAGGTGATTAGGGCGCTCGACTCACAATCGGAGGGTCGCGGGTTCGAATCCCCGTGCCACCAAACATGCTCGCCCTTTCAGCCGTGGGGGCGTTATAATGTGATGATCAATCCCGCTATTCGTTGGTAAAAGAGTAGCCCAAGAGTTGGTGATGACTAACTGCCTTACACTGCTAAATTAGGGACGGCTAGCGCAGATAGCCCTCGTGTAGCTTTGCGCGAAATTCAAAAGCAAACAAACTGTTGATAAATAAATTATACTTGTGTTGAAATTCTCTTACTCATATCCACACACACACAAAAAGTTTTTCAATCAAAGTCTACGACTCAAGCTTCAAACTTATCAAAACTAAAATCATACCACTACAGAATTAGAAAATCATCATTTTTATAACTGTCACAATTTAAAGTTTGTAATACAGTTAATTTTGACTAGATTGTTAAATGCTATTATATTAAGTACAAAACAAACATATATTTGTTTTATACTACAATGATACTAAGTCCTTGATAAAAATTGTATAATACAGTGCCTATTCATTAGTTCGTTACATTGCTTTAAAACATGTTTGGTAAGTTATGAATGTAGTACGATCTTAATTAAAAACTTCGTAATTAATATATTACAGTTTGGACGACACTGATTGAAAAGAAATTCAATTCACAGTTTTTTGTTTGTTACTACTAGAGATTTTTCAAGACCTATTATTTCCTGTGTATTAATTGAAGTAAAACTAAAAACTCGTTTGTTTTCATAACACCATTTTTTTATTTCGTTCACTTATTTTACATGATATACACTAACCACCAATATTTAACAACTCTACCTTCATTCCACATTTTAAACACTTGCCTGGAATGCTTATCTAACTGACTTGGTGATCAATATTACTAGAAAAACTGTGTCGACTTTCACTAACTAGAGAAGGGTTGTAAAACGAACTCGGGTCTTCGTCACCAACGTCAGAAGATGGCAGCACCTGGAAACACTGTGAATCTGAAGAAGTTAATGCTGGAAAAGTCAGTTCAATGACAGAGTCTGTTGATGGGTTATGAGAGGACCCTTCATCATAGCTTCCATTTATGACAGCACAGGTTGTGCCATTCATTACATCATCATATCCTGAATGAAAGCAGAAAAATCTATAGGTCATTTGATTTCATTGTTAATAGTGATATAATTTAAAACTATTGCTAAACATTTTATGTCACTGTTTCCCAACCTTTTTCGCCGCAGCGCCCCTTCAGCAAACAATAAGCGCTCATACTCCCTTCTAATAATTTTTTAACATAAAAGAGATATGCTCAACAAACGGACCAGAAGCATTGGGGTGGGCGTTGCTTGCCAAAGACACACCCACACAATGATCTGTGCTCAAACATGTTTTAAGAAAAAAAAAACCTAGTTCTTATGGTTTACTTTTAATACATACTAGACCACCCGTGACCTGTTGGGTCACCCACTATTCAGAGGTTATGAAGAATTCAGGCTAATTTCAATATTTCACCGAAATGAAGGTTCATTTTGATAAATTTATTTAAATATTTCAATTCATTCGTGTTATTCATAATTCAAGAAAATATATTTGAAATAAAAGGAAAGACCATTTCATTTTTCAAAAAGTGAAGCCAGAGTTTTCAGGTATTGTGATGTATTAATTCATTATGTTGTGGTCTTTCTTCTTAAACCTTCTACAAATAAAAAACAGTAACACTTTATTTTTTCTTCGAATTACCTACCATAACCAAGGCACATTATTGAGAAATTCTTCAATATCTTGTTTTTGTCATCTTACGCCTTTCAAAGAAGATGGGAACATTGCCAGGGAAATAGATTTGAATGAAGAAGTTTCGTAAAGAGCGCGAACGGTAGTGTGATATAAAATTACTGCTAGAAATTTTCATAAAACTGACCCGAAAAAAAGCGCTAACTCGGTAACCCGTG